CTCGAACTTGAATTATCGTAAACACCCCTTATCTCTTCCACCGTGATCAGCCGTTTCTTCGTCGTGCTTTGGAGATATTTTTCATAAAAGGTAACCTTTTTTCTTACTTCTTAATATAAATATTAAAATATTTAATTAGATTATTGAATATTAAATATTTTTGCATATATTTTTCGCGTTTTGTTATTTTTTTCCTCGTTGCTACCGTATCTAACCAAAGAAATTCGGTTATGTCAGCGAAAAAATATATCGCAATAAAAATTCATTCCATTATAAAGTCTAATGGCCATCATAAATCCTATGAGGAGACAGGTTTTAAGATGCCTATAGGTTTTACAATAAAATTATATGATTGCAATGTGCTTTTTACAGACATAACTCAACCTCTTCGGTTAAATGCGACAACAATGGAAAAAATAACAAAACGCGAGGAATTTATTGTTGTTTTGTGGGAATTTCACACAGCAAAATTTTTTTGAAAAAGCTTATTTTTACTTATTGCTTTCCTATGAGTTACGGTTTAATTTTCCAAAGCTAGTTCTCCTTCAATGATACATAACTTTACATAATCTACTGTTGTATATAGGAATCAATTTGTGTGCAATAAGTGAAAGTGTACTCCATATTTTCAAGATTGATGAAAGTAAGGCAATGCCGCCTATTTACAAGGATGATAGAATAAAGTACATTCAAGGAAGCTGCAATTCTGATCATATCGAAAGGCAGGAAATAATATCTGCTTGATACAAGTCTTTCTTTCGGTGACCGCATTTTTATCTAGGTTTATTGATAGATACCTACAGTAAGTGTTGCATTAGTAATTTGTAAACTTCAATTTACATCATCATATTCTTATCTTTAAACTTTTTAATGATTATTATGTTGTGTTCAATATATAATAGTTATTTTGTAGTTAACTGTTTAATAAGGATATTTTACTTTTCAGCTGAAAATCAATTGTTGAACAAGATGACTGTCCGAGTCTGTTGGTTGCATCAGATAAACATAAAGAGTGTCCTGATATTTCTGCCAACTCAAATTAGAAACACATTGTACAAAGCAATCAAGTTGCACAATCCAAGCATCGATAGTTAAAAGCTATAATATTAAGAATAAGCGCGCGCACACTTGTATTGTTTCTAGATATCGAGAAATTTTAAGTATATCTCTGCTTGCTTGTGGTTGCCTATAGTGCTTCTTATGTATTTTATCCGCATGACTCATAAACGTTGCAAGATCCGAAACTTCAGTATCATTCAGATTGAACTGAATACAATGTGTCGCTATGTTTTCTTAATGTTGTACCACGCAAAGTAGTTGATTCACTTGCGTTACATGGAAATTACGTGCATATTTCCGCATTAAAACACATGCTCTCAGATATCGATATCTTTTTTTATCGAAACCAGGTAATCCAAAAATAAAAGGATTTTTTTTTTGGTACATTTGTTTCTGTACAAAATTTCAAAATTAATGAAATACGGTCAATTCACATTTCGTTTGACAATAAAACGGGTACTGTTCGTCCCAACTTTCCTCTAATACAAAATTGCACGTATTTTTTGGCAATTTTTCTATCTTCGACTGATAAGGATTTATAAATATCATCGAACATATTTTTATTAACTTTAACATAATGTTTAAAATCTTCTATTTCTGCTCGTTCCATTTCTCCTGCTCGACGTCTATTAAAGACATGTATTGAAGTTAATGTGATCTCAGTTAAGGCAAGCCATTTTTCATATGTAAAAGATTCTTTTAATGCTACATATGCTGCAGTTCTTTGCTTCGTCAAATGTATGTGTAACTTTTTAATATCATTCAATAGATAAATTTATCTTTTTATGCCTTTTATGAGCAAAGATAGAAGATGTGTCTCTTTTAACGTTTTATTGACACTTGTTTTAATATTCCAATATTAATATAAGGAAACACATAGCAACACATTGTATTCACAACGAGCAGTTTTATAAAATTTTTGACTAATTTTTTCTTATTTTCATCTTTCTTTTTGATGTATTGCAAAATTAGAATATTTCCTACGTATTTAAGAAAAGTTGACAAAGTAGCTGCTGGAGTTTTATATAGTTGCGTACCGTTATCATATCCTGCAATTATATTTATTGCAGAGATACAATCATCATATAATCGAGGATGGTATAATAACTAATGTATATGTAATGTATAATTTAGAATTTTCAATCGTTATATCAACTATATGGCGACTGTATTTCTGCAATAAATATAATTGCAGCATATGCTGCATTAAAATAGTTCTTTTCAGTAAATTTGTATTTCTGTACTTCTGATTCGTTATGGTAAACTATTATTACCAAATGACGTGCGAATTAGGATTTTTTTACAAATTAGTAGTTTAATTTTTATTTAAGTCTTCTAATGTACATGATCTTATCGTTACATATTGTTGTGTCAACAATATTTGTATTTGAAATGTCCAAACTTGAAATCGAATATGCAATTCTGTTCATAGTTTGTAGATCTTGTGTGTACATGTAATATCTTGTATAGATTCATTATGTGTGAAGAAGAACTTTGCTTTGAAGATACATAGAAGGTATTGCGAGTCCTATATTTGCATATCTCAATATATACATGTATTTGTATAAAATAAAATATAACAATAAAACATGAGAAATATATATCGTGGAAATAAAATTTATTTCTTTAATTTCAATAAATGTATTGCACCAACAGAAAAAACAAAGTATAGACATAGTATACATAATAGATATTAGATTTACTAAACATTGTTTCTTTAATACCATGGGATCAGGTTAACGTTATAATAATTATGATGCATATGTCATAGAGAATATATTATTTTTTTAAATAAAAATACATTTCATTATACATCCG